TTGCAGGGTGTTTCGGAAGCGGAGCGAGCGCGGTGCCGGGAGCTCCTGCGGCATGTCCTGGACCGCGTCTACCAGCCGCTGGCGGTGCGGGAGCTGCTCGTCCTGCAGGGCCGACCCAAGCAGGTACCCGCCGGCAGGGCTGTCCCTGTGACGGGGTACGCAGCGCCCACCGTGCTGGGCACAGTCCCCTCCTGTGCCCCGAGGGTGCCCGTGTTGCTCTTCTAGAAACGTCTGCCCACCTTAAAAACCAGTTTGGGGTAGCAGCCCCGTCCGCCGGCGCCGTGTGAACGCACAGGCGAAGCTGCTGGGTGTGGGTGAGCTTGGGGACCGGTGCCATGGCACGTGCCGCCAGGGTTTGGAATTCCGTCCTGGCCGAGCAAAGCCCCTTCTCTTCCAGGACGTGCCCTTCTCCGCTCGAGGGGACGAACCCGCTGCTGTTTGTGGCGGCAGGGAGGAGGGGACAGGCTGTCTCCTTTGTGTCCTTTTCACACAGGACACGTCCCAGCTCCGCGGGGTGGGTGGGTTTCCGCCTGCCACGTCGCGGTCTGGGGTCAGGACACGAGGAGCAGCTGGTGGGCACGTGGTGTGGCTGGCAGGGGCACAGCTCTGCCACCTGCTGACCCTCTGCCCGAGATCATGCACCATTCCTGAGCCGGGGGGCTGCCGAGGGTCCGTGCGAGGCGCTCGCCGGCACCGGCTGTGGTTGTTCCACACAAAAGCCATGGGGTCTGCGGTTAAAGAAAAGCCGAGCTGGTTTCCCCGGCAGCCTCCTCGCTCCTCGGGCTGTCCGAGCAGGCGCCGCCACTGGAAGCGCTCGCTTGGCTCTGCTGTTCCTGCTGCTTGGCTCCACCAGGCAGCCCGCGGGCTCCTGGCAAGGGTCACCGCTGCGGACCCCTTACCCGTGCCCTGTCCGGCTTGTCCCTGCAGTGCCGTTGTGGTAATGAGGTGGTCGGAGCTGCTGCCTGACCCTCAGAGGCTTTAATTAAAGGAGGGACGCTCTCCACGAGGGGATGCTCCGGGAAGGCTGGGCCTCTCATTAAGCCCTAATTTGCTTTGTGCCGCTGGATGAAGAAGTGGTTTATTTAAACCCTTTCCTTGTTCTGTGCTGCTCTCTGGTCTCGTGCCCTGCAGGGCAGGCTGCCGGCTGTTTGCCTGTTACTGGGGGGGTTGCACAGGAGTGTGCAAATACACTCCTCAGCCTGCTCCTTTGTTTCCTTTCAGAGTCCTCCCTCTCCTGGGGAAGAAACAAAGCCGTGCCTTTCGCGGGCTCCGGCGTGGCTGCGGCGCCTCTGCGGTCAGCTGCTCTCCGAGAGGCTAATGAGACCCAGCGGGGTTCAGGCTGTGGTTCGGGGCATCATGGAGGGAACAGGCGGTGAGTAGAGTGCTGTGACGCTGCTCTTGGCTTCCAGCTTCGCAGATTCAATTTGACGGTGATGACGTGTCTGAGATGTTCACCCCACGAGACGCCGGGGATAGGCAGCGCCGTCCGGGCGCCACGTTGGGAAATGGCTTTTGTCAGGCCGAGCTGACCTGTAACACTCGTGCAGGTTTTGCTTCTGACTGTGCTGAACTCCCAAATGACTTCTGACTGCAGGTGCCTTTAGCTGGGGGTACGCCGTCATGTCCAAGGTCCAGACTATAAAAGCTTCCAAGCTCATTTGGGCTGTTTGTGGCCCAGTCGGTCGCGCCCCGTGCGGGTACGGAGTGCGGTTCCTTCCCAGGTTTGGCGGGAGCCGTGCTCGGCGCTGGGCTGTGAGCAGCTGCGGGTGGAGCATGACCCGTCCCGCTCCAGCGCTCGGCAGCCTTGCTCTCTAAAAGCTCAGTCCCGCAGTTTTTAATGCCAGAGCCTCCTCCAGCCAACAGCAGCCTGGCGACACCATCCAGGCGTGAGCTCCCTCTACCTTTTGGCTCACACACATATTTGTTTTTCATTATCAGAGGTTTCCGTTATCAGTTGTTTTCCATTATCAGAGGTTTCGGGCAGTAATTCTTCCCCTTCTGTTATTAAGTTCAGGTGTCTCCTAAAAGGTATTCGGTCTAAAGAGAGTCATAAAAGCTAGAAATACAATTTTTGGCCAGAAACATCTGGCTTCAGCCAAAACTGTCCCTGCTGTTTGCTGTCAGTCTGAGCTGATCTTGGCTTTCTGCTGGTGTAGCAGGTGGTGCTGGTGCTGAAGCGGCAGCTGTGGACTGGAGAAAATGCGACGCGGTTGCAAAGATCCTGGCTTCCTGCCCGCAGCAGTGCCTTTCCCTCGAGGACTACTACAGCCTGGTGTGCCCCCAGGTAGGGCCTTCTCTTCCCCTCCCTGCAGCCCCCCGGCTCGGGCTGGGAACGCTGAGCCAGCTCCCGGTTTGGAGAGTGTCGGTACTGTCGCTTCTGCTGGAGCGTGGCCTGCCTCGGGCCAGGACACCGTGGAGATGGTTTCCTGCTGCTCTGGCAGTGGGATGTGTTTCCACTCTACTCTTGAATTTTCCATATTTGGTTGAAATGCCGGGTGATGTGCCTGATTTTGGGAGCTGCTCAGCGCTGTGCTGTAAGGAGCATGCTGCTGCGGAGCTCTTCCAGCCTTCGGCTGTGGGAGTGGTGCAGGCTCTTGGTTTGAGCCCAGAAGCGCATCCCGCGTTAATGCCTGCACGGAAAGGAGACCGGCTTTTCCATATGTGGAATGTTGTGCCAAACGTCCAGTGGAGCAGCACACCGGAGGCTCCTCAGCCAGCCTGCTCCCCTCTTCTGAGGGGCTGCTAAACTTTGTTCCTTTGTTGTGGATTTTTCCTTCCAGATTCTGGACTTGCTGCACATCCAGGACAAACTGACAGCGCGCCAGTTCCAGCGAGTGGCCACCACGACGCTGCTCACCATGGCGAAAGAGCACCCTCAGCTGGCAGAGAAGCACTTGCTCCAGCCCCTCTTGGCACCGCTCCTGCGGTGCTCCGAGACCCCAGGTACCCACTGGTCTCTGCCGAGCCCTGCACTGGAGAAGGCTCTGGCTTCTCTTCTCCCTGATCTCTCTTTACATCACAGTTTTCTCGGGCTGCTGGCTGGGCTGCTGAGTGTGCAGCTCTGTCAGTTGTGAACGTGTCTGTGTGCTGGTTGTGCCGCGTTTACTAGTGCTTGAGACAAATTACCATAGCGTAAGAGCCAAGCGGTCGGGCTTCTGCCATGTGCTCTTTGGGAAGCTCTTCCAGTCTGACAGTCTCATTTTGGGCTTCTGGGCGGAAGCCTTCGGTTCCCCACACTGACCCAGTAGCTCTCTGGGGAATCATCCATCAAGAGGTTGTGGTCTGCTTGGATTCACTCGAAACCTTGCAGAGTTTACGACACTGCAGTGGTGTTCAGCGCAGCTGACGAGGGCTCCTCGTTCCCATGCTGCCTCGGTGGAGGGAAGGCAAGAGAAATACCAAAGTGCTCTCTGGTGCTGGGCATGGCGGGGTTGCTGGAGGCTCCTCAGTCTGTGAGGATGCTGATTTTTATGCCCTTTGTTTTCAGAGCTAGCAGAGGAAGAGTTATCAGCAGGGACCGTGCTGGTGACAGAGGCAGAGCTTGGCAGCTGTGTGGAAGATGTGCTCAAGGTACCGTGTCTGACTCGGGCCTGAGGGTAGGCGAGAAAACTACTCTTAAGAAAGCTGGTTTGGGACTTCCTGAGCAGTTCAGCATGTGTCAGAGCATGACAGAAACCAGCATCTCCTGCAGTTGTGATGCTGAGGCTGCACAGAATAACCTCGTGTGCAGCCCTGTGCTGGCAGGACTGCAGCTTTACAGGGAATATCAGAGGCACTGCCTGAGTCCGTTCAGGCATTCTCACCCCAAAACGTTCTGCGAGCTGGCAGTGAGCTCTGGCTGGTTGTTTTTTCCCTGGTGTCTTTCTGGTGTGTCAGAAGAGTCTGAGCGGTGGGCCGGTGGCCAGGAGTCCCCATGGTGCTGTCATATCCTCTTCCTCCTCCGCAGCAAGACTCTGAGCATCACTAAATTGTGCAGCTTCCTCGGGATTGATGTGTCTGGGTGTACTGTTGGAGCAGCTTTAGGACTCGGGCTGTGATGGTCGAGCAGGCAGGAGGTCCTGGGCAGGAGCACCGCTGGCCTGGCATGCCTTCCCTCGGGCTCTCCGTCCCCGCCCGAGAGAGGTGTGCAGCTGGTCAGAGGGAAGGACGATTGCAGGGAATCCTGCAGATGCTGAATCTTCAGAGGATGCTTGAGCTCTCCTCCCAGGCTGTGGGTGGTCTCCGTCTTCTGCCTCCGTGCCTCAGTTTCTTTCCTGTTGAGTGTGGATAATGCTGAGTGTGGTGTTAGCTGTGTGGCAGGGAGACATGAAGGGTCTGGAGCACAGGTCTGCTGGGGAGCGGCTGGGGGAACTGGGGGGGTTCAGTCTGGAGAAGAGGAGGCTGAGGGGAGACCTCCTGGCCCTCGGCAACTCCCTGCCAGGAGGGGGCAGAGAGGGGGGATGAGTCTCTGGAGCCAAGGCCCCAGCGCCAGGCCCCGAGGGAATGGCCTCAAGCTGCCCAGGGCAGGGTCAGGCTGGCTCTGAGGAAGGATTTCTGTGCAGAAGGGGCTGTTGGGCGTTGGAATGGGCTACCCAGGGCAGGGGGGAGTCCCTGGGATCCCTGGGGGGGTTGAAGAGTCGGGCTGAGCCAGCGCTGAGGGATCTGGTGGGGTTGGGAACGGTCAGGGTGAGGTTCATGGTTGGGCTGGAGGAGCTTCGAGGGCTTTTCCAACTGAGATGATTCTGTGAAGCTGCTGGGAGCCGCCTCTCGCTGCCGCCCAGGTCTGCAGAGGGCAGCCTGAGCCAGGGTGCGGGAGCTGGAAGCCTTTCTACAGCTCCTGCAGCGAGAACCCCTCGCGGAGGGCTGGGCAGCTGCCAGCTGTCACGCTGGGCCAAAATGCTTCTGAATGGGTGACCTGGAAACAAGGGCTCTCGCGTATCGGCAAGTGGCCAATGGTGTTGGATTGCCCAGCCCGGCAGCCAGGGCAGCTTGGCAGAGCCACCGGCTCGTCGCTCCATGGTTGTGCAGCCAGCTGGCAGTGGGTGCTGGGAAGTGAGAGGATTTGGTGCAGCTCTTAAGGCTGCTGAGCTGTCACCGGGGTGAAAAAGAGAGCGCAGGTGAGCTCGGAGGCATCGCAGAGCTGCAGGGAGAGGTGGGAGAGCTGGCGCAGTGATCCGGGGGGCTGCTGTTAGGAAGCAGAGAGCATGTGGGTACGACGAAAGGAGGGTGGGTGGCAGCTGTTAGTGGCTGTGTCCTCACCTGGGGTGTCCCAAAAAGAGAGGGGACAATGCTGCTGGTCCCCATGGGGTGTCCCCAGCGGCTCATCTTCCCCTGCTGATACCTGTCAGGGGACTGAAGGCATTACAGTCTGTGTTGTCCTGTTGGATGAGTAAGGTAAATCATGCTAAGTAAGGAAAAACGAGTATCCTGTTTTGCAAGGACCATTCTGAGATGAACCCCATGACACGTGGGTTTCCATGTGCATGAACTTAATTTTTAAGCCGTGGGTGGGTGATCCTGCAGCAGCTGTTGCTGGGTGCCCAGCCGCCTCCCGAGGAGCTGCTCTTGGTGCAGGAGGGTACCTGGAGGCAGTGGGGGGCCTCGGGGCTGCTCTGAGCTGCTCTGTGCCCCCGGCTGCTGAGGCAGGAGGGATTGCTGGGGCTCAGCAGCAATCCCAGCCCTGATCCGGTGCTGGGGGATGGGGAGGGTTCAGGAAAATGGAAGGAAACTCGGGTCTCCTCAGAGAAACTGGCTTTGCCAGTAAGAGCCGCCTTCTGCGTTAGAGGAAGTGTCTCGTGGGCAGGACGGTGCAGGTTGAGCACTTGCTCGGGAGCTCCCTTCCTGCAAGGGGTCCCTTGGCGCCACAAGCAGGGTGTTCAGCGGCGTCGATCTTGGCTCCGGCGTTTGGGGGAGAAGCGGGGTCCGTCCTTGTGCTCCCTGTGAAGGAACAGGGCTTTTTGTGAAGGCCTCTTCTTCTGAAACCTTCCCTCCCAGCTCCTTTTTCTGCCCTTCCCACCAGTATCACCAGTGCCACGCTGCAGGCTTCTCTGCCTGCCCTGACAGCAGCCCAGCTTTCTGCTGCGCTTTCCAACCCAGAAGGACATCTCCAGCCCAGCAATTCAATTTTAAGAAGCTGGTGACTTGCTTACTGGCATGCCTCTAGGCAGGCTAAGCTCTTAAATGCTGAGATTGTTGTAGTATTTTGCGTAGTAACGATCTGTTGTAACTAGCTGGCAGGCAGAGACCAGTCTGGAGGGCTGCTCTGTGGCTGCGCTCACAATGCGGGTGCTGGGGGAGTTTGGGGCGGATCCCTCCTTAATGGCAAAGCGCTGGAGGCCCGAGAGCAGCCAGATTAGTGACAGAGACTCCAGCCTGCGGATTTGCGGGGGTTTCTTGCCTAGCAAGTGTCATTTGATGCCGAGTGAGAAACCATCCTTGGGGCTTCATCAGGGAGGCTTTGTGTACAAAAGGTTCTGGTTGGGAAGAATGGCTCCGCGGGGATTAGCACAGGAAAAGAGGTGTGCTTGCATCAATAGAGCAGGGCAGAACAGTATCGGGACAATCTCCCTCCTACCTGGGTTGTCACACTGCCTGGAGCAGGCAGAAGCTCTTTGGTCTGTCTCCAGGGCACCGCCAGCCCTGGAGCAGGCGATTGCTCTCCAGCTGCGGAGGTCAGAGGTGTGGGGAGTGCTCTGGTCTGAAGGCACAGCCTCTTCCGAGCAGGTAGTTCACCAGCTGACACAGCTGGAAGTCAGAATACTTGTGAAAAGGCTTTATTTCCCCCCCACACCCCCCTTTTTTTTTTAAAAGCTAAAAGCTATGGAGGGGGATGGAGCATGCAGAAACGGGGACCTGAACACAACAATCCCCAGAAAACCCCGAGTCCAGCGGGGCAAGGCTTGGTATTAACCATTTTCCAGACAGGTTTTCCCAACGTTATGGCTTTGACTGAAAGCATCCTACCTGGCTTTTAGTTTTGAACAATCCCCTTCAAAGGATTCATAAGGAAACACAGTGTCATGAGACTTCTGTGAGTGTTTTTCCTGCGCTCCGTGGGCAGGGAGGTGGGAGCTGTGCGGTGAGCTGGTACCAGTGGCTTGCCTGGGAAGGGGGTGCTGGTTCTGTGGAGGAGGGCACTGACAGCGCTTCGGGAGGGTGCTGCTTGAGATGGAGGAGAGGAGCACGGCCCTGCAGCCTCCTCAGAGCCCCTGCAACCCCTCTTCTCAGCTCAGCGCACGTCAGCCCACCTGCCCTGCTTAGGGACTGAGCTCTGCATTTGAGATTTGGCTCCAGGTGCGGTATTTCCATAAAGATTTGCTAATTCAAAGGTGCCTGTTGCATCTGTCTGTAAGGAAAGACCTTACCCCTGAGCAGCAGACTTCTGAATAGCTGGCTGCAGTGTTCCTGTAGCTTGGAGCCCTGCCGTGGTTAAGCAAGTGCTCGGAGAAAGATGGTGCTGAAGGCTGCTTTTAACACAGAATGTGCCATAACCAGGGAAAACAGGCTCCAGACTGAAAGAAACAGGCTGAAAACCCTCTGCTGTTCTGCACAGACGTGCTTTCTGTCCTTCCCTTCGCCTTCCCTCTGCTCCACGCAGGTGTTTGACCCTCCTCCCTGTTCCTTTCTCTCCGTAGGTGTATGTGGTTGGAAATGACAGCTCAAGCCTGATGCTGGGATCCTTACAGTCAGTCCTGGGAGTGGTTTTTTCCCTCTATTCCTTCGCCAAGCAGAATGTGTCATACTTACGGTAAGGGAGGATTTTGTGCACGGCTTCTCCTGGGGTTTCGTCTCTGCACCCTGCCCACCTCCAGGGGACATGCTCTCTATGGGCACGTCCCGAAGCCAGGACCAGTTTTCTCATCCTGAAGAGCTCTCATTCAAAGTAGGCAGTAACTGCAGGCACAGGCACAGTACACGACCTTACTGGCAGACCTGTGCCGGAGGAAGCAGTTCTCATGTTAGCTTTTGTCTTCCCTGAAGCCAGAATGTTCAGTGTGGAGGCAAGCGTGTCCCTGGGCGCCTTGGGAACCGCAGTTAACTCTTGGTGCCTGTCTAGGATTGTGACTCTGAGTGGAGATGGTGTTGGCAGGGATCTAGAAACAGGATAAAAACTGGATAAAACAGCTTGAGTGCTGGCTCTTGGAAATACGAGATCATTCTTCTCCTATCTGGGGTCGGTCTCTTTTGCTGTGTGCAGGACCTGCCTCTGCAGCTGCCGCTCGCGCCGTGCCCGGCTGCCCCACGGCTGATGTATGATGGCAAGCACCACGTGTGCCAGTCGTGGTGACAGGGACAGGGTGACCAGGTGCTGGCTGTTCTTTCTCCTCCCCTGAGCTTGCCCTGAGTTTGGGCCACCCTAGTAAATATGCTCCTGATGGGTTCACTCTTTGCTTTGGTGATACTGGCGTGCAGGTGCTGGAGGTTTTCCCTGAGAGGTCTGTGTAGACACGGCCTCTGCTATTATTAAAGACATCGTTAATCACTTCAAAGAGCAGAGAGTGCCGTGGCAAGTTCGTGGAACAAGCCAAGTTAACACTGCTGCTGGGTGAACAGAGTCACTGCTTGCTTCTCTCTTTGCAAAGGAATTTGGCAGGGGTAACTCAAACCACAGCTGCCTGGAAGTGTTCGGGTTTCCAGACCTCTGGCACAGCACAGCGCTGCTACTCCACCTCGTCAACCTGCCTCTTTCCTTGGCAGGGCTTCCCACGCCACCTTACAGCGCTCCTCGTCTCCCTCCTCGGCACGGCTGACAGCTCGGTGCGTTGTCACCTTGGCGTGAAGCGCCTGGCGCGGCGTGCCGAGGCTGCGTGGAAGCGGCTGTGCTCGCACAGACACGCCGCTCGGACAGAGCGCTCCCTCGCTGCACTGAAACCCTGAAGGACCCAAATCCTTCCATCTGGGAACGCCAGAAGGGCAGGATGCGCTGCCGGTCCCCTTATAAACAGGCACAAATGCTTTCAGCTGCCAGAGCCATCAGCCAGAGCATCCCAAGGAGTGTCTGGTTGCTCCAGAGCGCTCGTGATTATGTATAACCTGATTGACTTGTACCCCCAGCGATCCCCATGTACCGACCCTTTGGTGTCAAATTTAATCTGGTTATTGGTTCATCTTGAGGCTGGCTGTGTCCTTTATGCCAGGCCTGATAATTGGCAAAACACCCTCAAAGCAGTGCCCCTGAAATAGTCTGTCCTGTAACACTCCCGCCCAGAAATAGGACCCCCACCAAAGAGTCCTCCCCAAAATACTCCCCTCTGAAAGAGTGCCCCCCAAACAGTCTCCCGAAATAGTGCCCCTCGTAAACCCTCCCCTCCTGAAATGGTCCTCCCCAAAATACATCTCCCTGAAACCGTCCCTCCCATAACAGTCCCCCAGGAACAGTCCCCCATAGTACCCCTGAAATAGTTTTCCCCACCAGATAGTCCCCCCTGAGATAGTACCTGCCGTAATTCTCCCTCCGGAAAATCTGCCCCCCACCCTTAATCCCTCCCAAAATGTTCCCCCCAGAAACATTCTCCCCAAATCCTCTCTCCTAGAATAGTTTTCCCTCAAATGCTCTCCCCTGAAACACTGCCTCTGAAATAGATCCCTCGAAAGAGTCCCCCGGGAAATAATCCCCCTGTAATGCTCCGCCCTTAAAATACTCCCCCGTGAAATAGTCGTCCCTTAAATCTCCCTCCGCAATACTCCCACCAAAATACTGCCTCCAGAATACTCCCCCGAAGGAGTCCCCAGAGAGTCCCCCTGAAATAGACCCTCCCATAAAACTTCCCCCTGAAATAATTAGGCTCCTGAACAGTCCCCCCCAAACAGTTCCCACACAATACACTCCCCTTATTCTAAGGTCCGCTTTCCTGCACTGTATTTCCCTTCCAACCTCTCTTTTAGGTCTCCTGCAACTTTTCTGCCCTCCCTTTATTCGTGCCTTGAAGAATTTGAATCTCCTGAGTGCTTCATCTCTCTCTTGTTCTCTCTTCCCGTCCTTTCTCATGCTCCACCTCTGTCCTTCTCTCTGTTGCTCTTGTTGGTTCCAGGCCAGCATCCTACTCCCTGTGTGTCTCCCTTTTGCAGTCGTCTCCTGCCCCTGGCTCCCTGTCGCTCACCTCACTGATGCCTCAGTACCTGCTCCTCTCTTTCCTGATCCCTCTGGCCTGTTCCCATCCCTGGCTTGATGCTCTTTCTCCACCTCTGCCTCGGACCTGTCCCTCTTCTCATCTCTCGGTTGCTCCTGTTTCTTTCTCCATCCCTGCCTCGCTGCCTGTCCCTTTCCATTCTTCTCTCGGTCCTCCATCCTCTCCCCAACATTTTGCCTGTAGAGATCCACACCCCTCTGTGGTGTTCTTTCCCGGTATACACCAGTGCCCAGCTCCCTGTGCCGTTCTCTCCTGCTCCGGGGCCTTTTCCCTTTCACCTTGTAGCCCATCCTGATCCCTCTCCCTTTCTACCTCTCTTGCTTTCTCATCCCTTCAATCCCTCTGCCTTCTTGCCGTCTCTTGCTCTCCCTCCTTCCCACCGTCCTTTACCCCCACATTTGATTTCTCTCTCTGCCTTTCTAGTCTCCACTCATTATCTCTCTTCCTCCGTCTGGCTCCCAGAACCTCTATTACTTCCATCCTATGCCTACAGGACTCCTCCTTCTTTTTCTAGTGATTTCTCCATCTCGAATTCCCCCAAGGCCTCTCAACCCTTTCTGGCTTCCCAGCCCTTTTCAAACTCTAGTGCCCATCAGAAGTCACACTCCGTTCCGGCATGTACTATTTGCTGGTTCCCTCTCCCCGAGATGTGTGGTCCCGGTGGGGGGCTGGTGTGCAGGGACGGGGACAGCTGGCAGAGGAAGGTCACCACTGCTTTCTCTCTCCCTCCCAGCTCCCCGTGCCAGGAGATCCTGCTGTGGTTCTTGGAGAAGTCGGAGCGAGAAGTGTCGCTGGCCGTGCTGGAAGGCATCTCAGGGCTGAACAGCAGCGTGTGTGCCCTCCGCCCGCGGTGCCGCTTCCGCGCGGGCAGCGAGGGTGGTGCCACCGTTGTGGTGGAGGAGACCATCAGGTGAGCGCTGTCGGGGCAGCACCAGCACAGGGGGCATTCCCCAGGCATGTAGGACTTGCCACAGCGTGTCCCACCATGGTCTCGTCCCCCGGGTGGCCGGCTGTCTGTGCTGAGCTCGGGCAGGCAGTGCTTCACGCAGCCTCCACGTTACCTGTGCTGATTTTTCAGCCCTGGAAAGCAGGACACCCCCCCTGAGCATTCGTGTGTGCTCTCTGCATGCTTTGCCCGAGTCCCCAGTCCTGCCTGCGAGGTGTGTGGGAGTGGGACGTGCTTCTTCAGTCCCAACACTCCCCAAATTCAACTTGCACCCTCCGGCCTGAGCCTGTCCCCCGGCAGATCGTGGCTGTGTGGAGTGAGCAGTGTCCCTTGGGCACAGGTGGCACCGTCACAGCAAGGGCTCTAGCAATGCCAGCGTGGCGGAGCCAGCGACCGAGCTCCCCTCCTGCTCTTGCAGATGGTCTCTACAAGTAGAAGCAGAGCTTGGCCATGTGGGAAATAAACTGCAGCCATTAGACTCCAGCCAGGCAAACTGGGACTGCTCAGCAGCGTGAGGTTTGGTTTAAAAAGGGGTAGCTGGGAGTTGGCAGGTCGGAGCCCAGCGCTGTCGAGCGGGCAGAGCGCTCAGCTCTGGGTGCACACCCCTAACAGAACCCCATACAAATACGCTTGGTTTGGTTTCATTTCAATCTATTCCTGACTGGAATTAGAGGAAAGTTTTCCCTGGGGTCTGTGCTGATTAAACTGGGTAAACTTTAAAATTGCTCCATAACGGCCATGGCTCTGCCCGTGTCTGTCCTGCTTTTATGGCCGTGACTGCTGCACGAATCCCGTTCTTTATAGGATGACTAGATTGAACGTGTTCTGCACTCGTGGTTTCTGCTAGTTGTTCCTTTAATGATTGCAGGTTAATTAATAAACCGAGTGCGTGATCACGTAGACCAAATGAACTGAGCCATAGTTTGGCTCAGCTGCCTCCAGGCTTCCCTTCCTGGTAGCGCTGTGGAGGAAGGGTTTCTGAGCGAGGCCGAAGCGGGACGTCACCTTGCCGTGAAGCAGTGTAGAGCCAACCCTGGAGGGGGGCTGCCTGTGTTCGTGTTTGTGACACAGTGACCTGTTTCAGTGATGAGGAGGACGCCCTTTACCAGAAGGTTTCCTCAGAGCAGTGCCATGTGGAGAACTTGGTGGAGCTCTTGTCGCACTGCCAGAAGAGCGGCCTGGCCGGAGACTTCTTCATCCGCTGCCTGAAGGTGAGGGCAGGCGAGTCTCTGGTTAGGGCATGTCTGCAGGAACGCTTTCCCTGGGCCACACGGCAAAGAAGACGGGTCGTCCCCTTCCGTGCCGCGGGAGCACGCGGCGGAGCCGTCCCGCTCTGTGCCTGCAGGAGAGCCTGGGAGAGGGGGGCAGCCCTGCTCCCCCAAGGGGTTAACCCTTGTTCCCCCTGGCCTCTTCTGACAGCAGGAGGTGTCTGAAGTTTAATGGTGTGTTTGAGGCTGTGAATAATCCCTGTCACTGCCTCGGCTCTAGCGGAGGGGCCCCGGCACCTGCTGCCTTTGATCCCGCTCCCAGCCCCAGCGATTCCCTCCTGGCCTTGTCTGGGCCGGGCTGTCTGTGTTCTTGCTGGCCAGCAGAGCCCCAGCCCGTAGTCACACAGGGTTTTCAGCATCCTGGGTGTAGGGATGCCGCTGTGGCACAGCGGGGGGACACCCAGGAGCTGTGGGCAACTCTTGGAGACCTTGATTTACCAAGCAGAAGGTTTTGGTCGCATGAGGAGTCAGCACAAGCTCCACGAAGGGGATGGGGTGGGGTGGGTGTCTTTGCGAGCAGCCGCTGCCAAAAGCAAGGCTGCAGGCAGAGGCCCAGCGAGCCTCAGCCCGGAGGATGCTTGGCCTTGGGAGAAGTGCTCAGTGGTGCTCTGTGGGGCAGAGGTTCGCCAGGGTTTGGCCTGGTGACAAGTGTGTGTCTCCATGCCCTGTGCTTCCTTCCCGGCAGGCGCTGACTCACGTGGCTGCGGAGGACGAGGCAGTTTCAGACTCGGCTGCGGTGCCAGGGGGGAGTCTCCTGGAGCTGGAGCAGTACCACGCCGGGCAGAGGAGGAAGCTGCTGGTCCTGCAGCTCGTGGCCACGCTGTGTGAGAACGTCTCGGACACCGTGTTCACAGACGTTGCTCAGGTTGGTCATGGCAAAGCCCCGGGGGGTCGGCGGCTGGAGCATGTGGCTCTGGGCTGCTGCACTCTAAGGAGACAGTGGCTAAGAAACAGCTGGGGAAAGCTTGAGTGTCCCCAAGAAAGGGAATTTATTGATTCGGTCACAAGTGTCTCAACGAGCCACTGACCTGTGCGGTGTTAGCAGGAAGGACAGTCAGCTGCAGAGAGAGGAGGGGGCAGCCCGGCAGATATCTCCGTATTTGTGTCCACGGTTGTGTGTTAAAAGCCAGGAGAGTAATCTGAGCATTGATCAGAACTCTGACTTGCCAGCTTCTCATCGTTATTTTGAGCAAAATTTATCCGCAAGTTTAACAAAGCTTAAAGACATCCTGTTCTGACAGACCTTTCCAGCGAGGGCTCGCTGCCTGCCTGTGGTGGTGGTGCCTGGTTTTTCTGGCACATCTCGGCAGCCACCTCCAGGAGCTGGGCTGCCAGCCGGACAAACGCGGCACAGCACTGCTGCCACAGCCCGCTCGGCCCTTGTCCCCAGAATGGCCCTTTTGTGGCTCTTCTCTGGTTTCTGCTGCTGGGCACAGGGTGGAGTGTCTGGCCATCAGGGTTGGTGTAACTGTGCTCATACCGTCGGCTCTTGCCTGTGTCTTTACGAATGGGTGGCCACAAAATTGATTAAAGATTGTCATTTCCAAGGCCAGCTGGGGCTCCTTGGACCTGGTACCAAAAAGGATTGTTAAAACACAGCACTTCTGTCCGGCCCAGGCCCACGCCGTGCCAGGTGGGAGGCTGCCGGGCGCTGAGGGCGGCACGGTATTCCCCAGCTGATCAATGTATTTTAACTTCCTCATCCTGTTCTTTTTTAACCCGGTGACCTGGTTATTCCATTTAACTGGGACTGGCTGGAGCAGAGGCGGTCACTGCTACCCCAGGTTCCCTCACGCTTCTCTGCGGGACAAAGGAGCCTTTGTGTGCGCCGCGGTGCGGGACCGGCCGGTGTCGGTGCGGCAGCCAGCGCCGCTTTGTCCTCACCTGCCTCTCTCCATCGCACCCACCCGCGCGGGACCGGCTCCGCTCCCCGCCTCGGAAAATGGGGGAAGTGAGAAACGGGGAAAGGTTTTGCCAGGTTTCTGCCTCCAGCCATGAGTCTGGGATAAAAAGAAACAACCACCCGAAAAGAAACGCAGACAAAAAAGCCATTATACTCCCACCTGGGGGTTGTGTTTCAGGGAGGGCTCCCTGGCGCTGGGACAGGCAGTCGTGGGGCTGTTTTTAAGCCGGTTCTGCAGCACGGAGTTAGTCCAGCGCGTCTGTTCCTGCTGTGGGCACTCTGGAGCCTGGCTTTGTGCTTAATGGGCTCCGAGCAAGCGGGATCCGCCTTCCCAGAGCCAGACCCCAGGCACGGCAGCAGCTGTGGGCCCCCTCACTCGCACAGTTTATTTTATTTATGTTTTTCCCCTGCTCACAACCAAGTTTCATGAGATTGATTCGATTTCCTTGATAGGCCAAGGATGCTCTCCTCCTGCACGAGACAGCAACGTGCCCCAGTGTTTTATTTTTCAAGCTTTTTTCCCCTTTCCACATTAGGGTGGGGTTTTTTTTCCTTCCAGATGAGTTTTTTTTCTTTTTAAACTTTTTGGTTTTCTTCAGTAGCTACCTACTGATAGATTATTTGTTCATGACATTCCTATTTTTTGCATTAAATATAATTTCAACCCATTCGGCTTGTGCGTCGCTGTTTTGTGAGAGCAGATGTTCTGACACTCGTTTTTGCTCCCTGTTCTTGCTGTTTGATGGCATTTCATTTCTGGACTAATCGGCCCAGAAGGTACCTAAGCCTTTTCTGCAGCCCCTCCCAGCCACCCTCTCTCCTGCTGCGGCAGGGATGTGCCTAACGAAGCTGGCAGCAATCAGCTTTCCTGCTGATGAGGAAACGTGTTGCCTGGACCCAGAGCCTGTGCCCTGGAGGCTGGAATTGTGGGGTTTGGTGCAATAATACCTTGTTGCCCTTGTATTTTGTTTTCCAAAATAGGAGTAAAATCATTCCTCTTCTTTTGCAATGTGTCCCTTACGTAGGAACGGCCCCGATCCAGCCCCTTCCCAGCCCCACTGGGCGCTGGCGAGCTCTCCCTGAGCCCTGCGGTGCCGGCACAGCTGGCAAAGATGTGGAGAAAATAAACTCACTAATTTCAAGTTCTGTTAGAAAAGCAGGAAGCCTGTGGGATCAAAGATGTGGGTGCCAAGTGTCGAGAAGGCCAGTGCCAGCCAGGCAGGATTGTTATGGGCTTGGGGGGGGAAAAAAAACTATTGAGAAAATCACAGAATAAGTGACACACTTGGTAAATGGCCCGACTCCAGTGTGGGTGAAGGGTGTTGGATACCTTCTCTCTCAGAGCCATCCCAGTTGCCTTCCCAGCTCCCAGCCCAGAGCAGGGACAGAGCAGCCGCCGTGGTTTAACCATGGCCTTGTCCCGGGGCTGTGGTGGACGGGCAGAGGGGCAGCGTGAGCTTGCCCAGCCCGCACCGGAGCCCAGTGGCTGTGGCCACTGATGGGCCGGGCTGTCTGGCCCAGTCCTGCTCCCCAAATCCTCACGGTTCTGACAGGCCGCGGCTGCAACCCTGGGAAATCGGCCCCTGTGTGCGGCGGCTGGAGGGATGGGCAGCGGTTTGGGGGCTCTGGCTCCCTCCTGCACCCCCAGTGTCTCCCCAGCGGGGCTGCACCAGCGCCCAGCCCTCCCCCGGCTCCCCGGGCTCCCTGGCACGGCCGAGCCCGCTCACCCGGGAGGGTGCTGGGATGGGTCTGAGAGGGCAGGTCAGGGTGGTGGCGGAGGAAACACGAGGGGGTCGTATGAAATTGCGCTAGAGAAAGGTTTGGGCTCGGAAAACTCAGATGCAGAGACAGTGAGACCTGAAGTGGCTGTGGGAGGGCACCCTGACCTGCGGGAGGGCACCCCGATGTGAGCGCTGGCAGCAGCAGCACCCCGGGGATCCCCCCCCCCTCCTAACTGCTCTCCCCCGTGCTCTCCGCTGGCAGGTGGAGGAGTTCGTGGCAGCCACGCTGCAGCGAGCCTGCGTCAGCCCGGCGCGAGGCCCCGGCGTGGCGGCGGAGGCGCAGACCCTCGCCATGGCCATGGGGCTCGTGGCCGCCATGCTCGGCGGAGCCGTCCAGGTGAGGGGGCGCGGCCGGGGTGCTCAGCAGCCTCGGGGTGTGGGGAGGGGGGAGACCGGGCACCGTCCCACCCAGCTGAGGGGCACCGCAGCCGGTGCTCCGGGGTCTGGGTGCTCCCTGGGCCGGGCTCCCCGTTCAATCCCAGCGTATATATCTATATTATTTTTCCTCGAAGCAGGGCTGCGGTGCTGGCCGAGGGTTTGGTCCCGGCAGGGCACCCCTGGGAGCCCAATTAATTAATTTATAATCCAGAATCCACTTCTGAGAAGGTGCTGACAGCGCGGTGCGGTCACATATGGCATCTTTAAATACCAACCCTGCATCCTCTGCATCCCTGCACATCCTCGGGCTCCATCTCTGGAGCACAACGGACTTCCCGGGGTGGGCTGTTCAGCTCTTGAAAACTCTCCATAAAAAGGGCTACCCTGCCAGCTGAACTGCCATCCGGGAGCCATCACGCCTTCGTTAGCGCGCTCTAATCACCCCAGCTCGGCGTTTACATCACTGAGCTGCCAGGCTTGCTTCATCCCCAGACTTGCCCAAAGGAAAACCCAACTGTTAATGGAAAAAGATAATTCATTGTGTCTTCTTGCTAAATTCCTAACGTTGGGAAAAGAACATTGTTCAGTTGGAGAAAACTTAAAACCAGAGCCTTGTGGCTGTAATGGCCCCCTCCCAGGCGAGATCCCGCTCCTGCTCTGGCGTTAATGGCAGCAACTTAACTCGGCAAATTGAATGCAAAAGGTTTTGGAGGCAGCTGCAAAGCTGTTGGGTCTCAGTGGCCAAGGGGTATTTTTACACAATCATCCAAAAGCTCCCCGAAATTTCCGCTGAAGCATCACTTCTGCAGTCTTACGGCCCCACTTTTGCTGTGGCAGTTAGGTCCAGCTTAGGGCAGGAACTTCTCCCCCTCGGGCGCCGTGGCCGCGGGGCAGGTCGGAGCTGCCTTGCCGGGTCCAGGCCCCGCACGGACACTCCTGTGGGCTCCCGCCCGTCCCACCTTCTCCCGCGGCACCTCGGGGCGGGCCCGGTGCCGTTGCGGCTGCTGCGGGCTCCTGCCCTGCCAGAGATGCTGCAGCTGGGATTGGCACTGGGGCCACTGGAGCTCGTGGTGACCAGAGCCCAGCTCGTGCGGTGGGGAT